AGCGTGCTTCGAGTTGAAGTAGACAAAGCCCTCTCTGTTGATACCTTCAAGAGGAGACTTGAAAAACACGTACTCACTTATGGATTATCAACTCCCAATGATATGCCTCATAACTTACCAACTGTTGTCATTACCACATTTTGTGAACTTGTCCCTTTGCCGAATATCATTATCTCCGTTTAACCTTTTGTTTTTATACTTCAACCTCCTCACACTGATTGTACTACTAATTAATTACCTCACTGTACATTTGTCTAGTTTTTTAAGCAACGGTCTCTTTCTATTTGCATTACTTGTTTGTTTTTCTTCACGTCAAAACCAACCAGTCAACTTCCTGCTTGGTAATATGACAGCCATTTGATATCCAGAAAAGACTTCTTCTCCGAGTCAGTCAAACTCAAATTAGCAGTTTAAAAATCCCCTTAGAATATTCAAAAATGAAAAATATTTGAGCGAACAATTATTTTCAATAACCTATCTCCACAACTTCATCATCAGGCTCGACAGTTATAAGTCCATAATTATAATATTTTACAAAGGCCAAAAATAAGGCATGTATTAATGAATTTGACGATGTTATGTGTTAAAAATGGTGAACGTTTGCATCTGTTACGATATATATATATATACTTCAAAATTAACTCCGCCTGGAGTCCCTCCGGGGGCTACTGCCGGTCCCAAGCCCGGATAAGGGAGGAGGGTTGGGTATGTGGTTAGCGTCCTTATCCCGTGAAAAACTAACTCGCTAAAAAAACGCTAACCAGAAAAAATTATTCAAACCTTTTAAACTCTGCCCTGGGAGACAGAAGGTCTTCATTTAGAAGAATTATGACGCCTCATGATGAAAGCCGAATTCGTTCGGAAGTTACGAGGCCGATGCCCCTTCTGACAACCAGAGCGACCATTTGTTTAGGTACATGGAATGTTCGTACAATGTGGGACACCGGGAGAGCCTTCCAAATTGATAAAGAAATGAGGAGAGTCAACCTAGAGGTGTTTGGAATCAATGAAACACATTGGACGAAAGTTGGACATCAACGACTAGCTTTAGGAGAGCTCCTGTTATACTCCGGCCATGATTAAGTAAATGCCCCACATACACAAGGAGTTGCATTGATGCTGTCCAAACAAGCGCAAACTGCGCTTATAGGATGGGAATCTCATGGACCAAGGATCATTAAAGCCTCGTTCAAAACAAAGAAAGAGGGTATTTCAATGAACAATGAAGACGCTAAAGATCAATTCTACAATAGGCTGCAGTCAATAGTCGAGAAGTGCCCAACAAAGGACCTGACCATTCTGATGGGAGATTTCAATGCCAAGGTTGGAACGGACAACACTGGATATGAAGAAATCATGGGACGATACGGACTGGGAGAAAGAAACGAAAATGGTGGGAGATTTGCAAATCTATGTGCCTTCAATAAGCTGGTCATTGGCGGCAACATATTCCCACATAAACGCATAGACAAATCCACATGGACTTCACCGGATCACTCTACACAAAACCGAATCGACCATATTTGCATCAACAAAACGTTCAGGAGGACTATAGAGGACATGAGAACCAAGAGAGGAGCTGATATAGCATTAGATCATCACTTGCTAGTCGCCAAGATGAAATTGAAACTCAAGAAGCACTGGACAACGGGGCAGACATTATCACAAAAGTTCAATATGGCCTTTCTTCAGGATAGTGACAAACTCAACAAATTCAAGATAGTCCTCAGCAACAAGTTCCAGGCCTTTCATGGAGAAGGAACTACTGTGGAGAGTAACTGGAAGGGGATCAAAGAAGCACCATCACAAGGAATGGATCAATGTTGATACACTGGATAAGATTCAAGAAAGGAGGAACGAGAAGGCAGCAATCAATACCAGCCGAACAGGAACAAAGAAAGCCAAGGCACAAGTTGAACACACAGACGTCAACAAGCAAGTGAAGAGGAGCATCAGAACTGACAAATGCAAATATGTGGAAGGTTTAGCAACGACGGCGGAAAAGGCTGCAAGTGAAGGAAACATGAGACAATTGTATGACACGACAGAGAAACTCTCTGGAAATCGCCGCAAACCGGAACGATCAGTCAAAAGCAAAAAAGGCAAGGTAATCACCAACATTGAAGAACAACGAAACAGGTGGGTAGAACACTTCAAAGAACTCTTGAATCGACCAGCTCCACTGAACCCACCCAACATCGAAGCAGCACCCACGGACCTCCCAATCAATGTTGGCAAAGCAGCAGGACCGGACAACATCCCAGCAGAGTCACTAAAAGCAGACGTAGCGGCAACTGCAAGGATACTCCACATTCTCTTCAATAAGATTTGGGATGAGGAACAAGTACCAACAGACTGTAAAGAAGGACTTCTGGTCATAATACCAAAGAAAGGCGATCTCAGCAAGTGTGGTAACTACAGGGGCATCACTCTTCTCTCAATACCGGGAAAAGTCTTCAACAGGGTATTGTTAAACAGGATGAAGGACTGCGTAGACGCCCAACTTCGTGACCAACAGGCAGGATTCCGTAAAGATAGATCGTGTACAGACCAAATCGCAACTCTACGGATCATTGTGGAATTCATCACTCTACATCAACTTCATTGACTACGAAAAGGCATTTGATAGCGTGGACAGAACAACACTATGGAAGCTTCTTCGACACTACGGCGTGCCTCAGAAGATAGTCAATATCATACAGAATTCATATGATGGATTAAACTGCAAAATTGTGCATGGAGGACAGTTGACAAAGTCGTTCGAAGTAAAAACCGGTGTTAGGCAAGGTTGCTTACTCTCACCCTTTCTCTTTCTCCTGGTGATCGACTGGATCATGAAGACGTCAACATCTGAAGAGAAGCACGAGATAGAGTGGACATCCAGGATGCAGCTGGACGATCTAGACTTCGCCGATGATCTGGCTCTCCTATCGCAATTGCAACAACAAATGCAGGAGAAAACGACCAGTGTAGCAGCAGCCTCAGTAGCAGTAGATCTCAATATACACAAAGGGAAAAGCAAGATTCTCCGATACAACACAGAATGCACCAATCCAATCAAAATTGACGGAGAAGATTTCGAAGATGTAAAAACCTTTACGTATTTGAGCAGCATCATTGATGAGCACGGTGGATCTGATGCAGATATGAAAGCGCGGATCGGTAAAGCAAGAGCAGCATATTTACAACTGAAGAACATCTGGAACTCAAAACAACTGTCAACCAACACCAAGGTCAGGATTTTCAATACAAATGTCAAGACAGTTCTACTGTATTGGGCGGAGACCTGGAGAACTACGAAAGCCATCATCCAGAAGATACAGGTGTTTATTAACAGTTATCTACGCAAAATACTTCAGATCCGTTGGCCAGATACTATTAGCATCAACCTACTGTGGGAGAGAACAAACCAGATCCCAGCGGAGGAAGAAATCAGGAAGAATTGCTGGAAGTGGATAGGACACACATTGAGGAAAGCATCCAACTGCGTCACAAGACAAGCCTTCACATGGAATCCTGAAGGCCAAAGGAAAAGAGGAAGACCAAAGAACACATTACGCTGAGAAATGGAGATAGACATGAGAAAAATGAACAAGAATTGGATGGAACTAGAAAAGAAGGCCCAGGACAGAGTGGGTTAGAGAATGCTGGTCGGCGGCCTATGCTCCATTGGGAGTAACAGGAGGAAGTAAGTAAGTAATACTTCAAAATTGTATTATTTGCAAATTAGAAAGGTCATTCACTAAAGGTCAGGATAATTTGGAGTAAAGCGTTCAGTCACAATAAGTATAATAGTATTATAGCAAAAATGAAAATGCAAAAATTTGTGTGAATAAAATGCATAGTAGGAGAGTTTAATCTTGTCACTTGCGATAATAATGATAATGGTGATAATGATAATAATAAGATTGTTGTGTAAATATAATATGTAATAAGGGGGGTGTTATCAAGGTAATTACGATCAACGAATTAGGAATGATGAATATGAAGATTATAATAGAGATGATCAAAAATAATGATAATAAGGAAAATAAATGAAATAAAGGAAGGGGGTAAGAGGTTTATAATATTCAGTCTAGGTATTCGGTGATCCAGTCGTAGGCCAAGGTAAACATAGAGGCTGGATATATTTTTTCATGATACATACATTAGGTCTTCTGCAGTTGATCCAGATGGCTTCGGCTATGTAAAGCAGTCGTAATCTGGCTCCTTGAGGTAGATATTTTGGAACTTGATATAAAACAGAGAAAGCTTCCTTTATTTTGATATGATGTTCACTATCTACCAAATGAGAAAGAATGGTGCTGTTAATCGACTTGGTAACTCCTTTTCCCAGCCAAGCTGGTACATGTTCACGAACACTCAAGGATAAAGCCCTCTGAGTACGGCCTATGTACCTAGCTCCACACGAGCAGTTGAATAGCTATACACACATGGAGGAACCCACCTTCGGTAACTTATCCTTGATTAGTTGTGTGAGTACTGGTTTAGTCTAGAAAGTTATGTGTAACTTGGCGGCATGAAACGTCCTTTCGACAGATCTTTTGAGTCGACGTGTTAGAATATCACCCGCAATGTCACCTTTAAAGTCGAGTATCAGATATAAGGTCCTTTTACTGACTGTGTCACAATGTCTTCTTTTTTTATTACTATTTTGTACGAGGTATCTTTTGACGAAATTATCAGGATAGCCATTATTTCGTAATGTGTTCTTTAGTATATCTATTTCGTCATCCACACTGTTTTCAGAACATAATAACTTGATTCTGTGGTTGAGACACTTAACCAAATATATTTTATACTGAAGAGGCGTGAAGCTTTGGAAATTACATGTACAAATCTCCAAAGATCTTCCAAAGTGACTAAAACTAGTGTAGTTGAGGGTCTGAACTACTTTTCATTAGATATAACCAAGGACCTGTTCTCGTATTAAATCATGAAGAAGAGCGAGAGCAAGGAAGTCAGTAGGTTTATACAAACCCATGACAAAAATATTGAATGTACTTGTTACGTAGCGCGAAATGCGGTTTTTGCGTTACCTGTAGAAAAATATAGGTAGGCCATTGCCAGACAACTGGTTGGCCATTGGAAAACGGCTAGTTCTTCTACGTTCAGAGTTCATAGAGATTTACGAATCGAATTTACGTCCACTGAATCCGAGGTTTCATTTTCATTAGTTGTTGTGGGACATAAATTTCGCCTAACTTTTAGGGATCGCAGAAACAACAGGTAGTCTTATCTTAAATGAGCTTTTGGATAATGAGTTATAATAATTCTTGAGTACGTTACTTAAATGATTAGTTTTAGGCTCGTTCTGTAGGATCCTTCGTAACTGTATCGCATAAATCAGCGTTTATCGATGTGTAAATTACACAATATTACTCCTTATCTTTTCTCTGTAGTCGTCGAATACTCACTGTTCTTACTGCATATTTTCACGTTTTAGCAAATTAACAACAAATGGATTCAGCTTGTCACACTATCTCTTATTTACGAAGCTTAGTTGTCGCCTGTATGGTTCTTATTGTAGCGTATAACCGAGTGTACAACTGCCTTAGTTTTCTTTAAGGAAAAATTAAACGAATACGTCAAATCCTTCTCGGTTACCTTATGTCCAAACGTTTGCAATCTGCATATTAGCATTAGTGCAGCTGCCTTTTATTCCTCACCGTTACTTCTAGTATATCCGGACCAGAGTGTTTTTACAATAAACAATGTGAAATATTCGTTTGCAACCTTTAAAAAAACGACAGTCTAAGTATAAAAATGCTTGTTGGAGCCGACTGCAACAAAAGATAGTTGATTAACCCAATGAAAATTTGTGTGGTCGAACAACTTTTGACAAGTGTATGATGCTTGGCTCTCAGGGTTTCCGGTTTGTCATTTATGATGACTAAATTTTTCAAAACCGGCCGTTTATATAAATTTTCATTGTAAATACTAGTCTATAAGCACATGAAAGTCTTGGAATTTATTAAACTCGCCTTTTGAAAACAACACTTTCAAAGATTTGATACAATATTTTCTAAATCTTTATGCTGAATCCTTTCCCAGTGTAGACATGAGTGTTCAATCTTTTCAACTATCTGAACTAGAGGAAAAAGCTCGTGCAAGTGCACTCAAAAGAGTTTCTGATCATTTTCAAGTTAGTTTGTATACATCTGATTAATTAATCTCTTTTCAGAAGCCAGAACAACTGGATAAGATAGATATTATTAAATCTAGATTTCTAAATCAAAAGGTTAGTCCTACTGTTCCTAATACATTCAAATATTCATTCTGTACAGACTGCCACCGAAGCTCAGTTAAAAATGGCTCTATATAGCCAGTTAGACGGCAGTAAAGTCGGTTTGGAAAAACTGGATACTGCCCTCGCTGAATCACAAACATGTAGGAACAGGTAGATTTTACTTTTCTTATTATTATCTAGACTCATCCAACTGGGATCTTCATTGTCTGGTTTGTCCGGCTTGTCGCAGCAATTGCATGAGTTAAAAAATCTCTCAACTAAATACAGTCAAGTGAGTGTTCTATTGCTACTACCAAAAAATGATGTAGCTCGGTGCTGCTATGGAAAATATGAGTTATCTTGTGAAGGCCCCTGAAACATTTGAACAGGCTCGAACTTATCTGGAGTCAGAAAATCTCTTAGAAGGTCATAAACTGTAAGTCTCTTCCCTCCTAATTCTTTTCCATTCAGAATGCAGGATTTGGAAGGAATTCGAGATGAACTGATGTTTGAAGTGTATCGACAAAAGTCTATGGAAGATTTAGATGTATGTGCCTTAGTTTTCAATTACCTTAACTCTCCTTTCTTTATCCATTCTGTAGACATTGCGTGCCTTTTTCCGTGAGCTGGAAAATTTAAATGACACGTTTAGACATAAAATAATTGTCCTTGGATCACGTTTAACTAGTGCAGTAATTACTCACAATCGCTTTGTTGTTAATTGTGTACGTGTTATTGACCGTGAAGAAAGGTAATTTTTCGCGTTTGTCTTGGGTCCTTAATAGTATGTTTAATTTTACTTTGACCATCAGTATTTCTTGGTATATGGTCATATCGTATAAAGCGACGTGATCTTTGAAAATCCAGTTTGCTAATTAAATCAGTTGCACATCCATATTCATACTGACATTAGGAAAAAGCGAATATTTTGACGTGACCCTTTTATCGCATACACACGAACAAATACAGATGAAGACAACTAGTGTAGCAGCAGTCTCTGCATCAGTGGGCCTCAACATACACAAATGAAAGAGCAAAATCCTCAAATACAACACGGAGAACACAAACACAATCACATTTGTTGAAGACGCTCCGGAAGATGTGGAATCTTTCACGTACCTGGGAAGCATCATTGATGAGCAAGGAGTATCGGATGCAGACGTAAAAGCGAGGATTGGTCAAGCAAGGGCCACATTCCTACAATTGAAGAACATATGGAAATCGAAACACCTGTCAGTCAAAATTAAATTGACAATCTTCTTTACGGACGTCCAGACAGTCATACTGTACGGAGCTGAAACGTCGTGAACTACAACAACCATCATCAAGAAGGTACAAGTATTTATAAACAGTTGTCTACGTAAGATACTCAATATCCGTTGGCCGGATACCATCAGCAACAGCTTACCGTGGGGGAAGATAAACCAGCTTTCAGCTGAGGCGGAAGTCAGGAAAAGAAGTTGGAAGTGGATAGAACATACATTACGGAAATCATCGAACTGCATCACGAGACAAGCCTTAACTTGGAATCCTGAAGGAAAACAGAAAAGTGGAAGGCCAAGGAATACACTGCTTCTGGAATTGGAAATAGACATGAGAAGGATGAATAGCAACTGGAAAGAACTGGAGAGGATTGCCCAGGACAGGGTTGAATGGAGAATGCTGTTGGGTGGCCTATGCTCCTCGACGAGAGGTAACAGGCGTAAGTAAGTAAGCAAATATTTTAGTCGAGGTTGAACATTTGCCCACGTTTGTAACTGTTTCAATACAGGCTCAATACGACGCAAAGCTACTTAATTCAAATGTATATACTCATCTTTGAGTCGTATAATCTGTACGTTGACAATACTATCTGGGGTCCAAACTAAAGTAAGCGGAGTGGAATCCCCACCTGTTGCCTGCTAATTGGAGGGATGTTTCAAAGTACTAAGCGGTTTAATGCAAAATCAGATAGAATATCAGATGTGCTTGTAAGTAACATGCGATGGCATTTTTGTTAGTCTTTCTACTTCGTGGTTCTAATAAATATCGCATATATTAAGTTGATCTTGACCGTTTCGTAAATATATGTCGTCTTTTTTAAATCTAATGTAATAGATCTGGCGTTGCATACGTTTTTTCGATCTATAAGTTTGAACAGCGATCCTAGCTCACCAAAGTATCCAACTGTATCTAGCAGTTAGCACGTATTTATTAAAGCACATACACTGGAAGAACGGAAAGGAGGTTTAGTGTTGACATCTTTGATACGTCCCACAAAAGCTGAGAGACTAAAAGAAAAACATTATCAACAGTGCAATTCCTCATTATTCGCCTGACAGCAAATATGTTGTTGACTTTTCAAAACAATCGATAAACAAATGATTCAAAATTTATTACGCTTTACTGATGTGTTGCTAAGAAAAACAAATTTACATATTCAGAGATATTTCACTCTTGCTTTGCCTTGGTAACCGTAGTATCTAGAGTTTTCTACATATCACTTTTCCCACAACCTTAATCATAATTCCTTTCGTTTTTACTTTCTACCTGAGTGTTGCTGAGCTAGTTATTTTTATTCCTATGTACTACATAAACTATGACGCAATCTTCAATTTCTGAAAATTCTGTTTTCATGCTCGATAGTGTTCTCTTCTAGAATATTCATATATTTAAAGTATACATGAATAACTCCTTAAACAGTTTATTTTTAATTCTTTCCCAATTTTTGTGTTTAATTTTAACTTAAATCTACACATTTTAATCAACTTTCATCAAAACTTTTTTGATATAAAGTATTGATGTTCATCTTCGTGTACACAATTAGAACTGATGCTAATTGGCGGAAACGATCAGAGAAACATGGTTTTATGCCAGATGGACGACCGAAACAATGGAAAAAGCTGTTATTTGACAGTATATTTAACACTATAAAAAATAAGTGAGTTAAATTAATTCCATGGGGTTTCGATAAAGTCATCAATTTTTGCTACTATCAGTTTGAATGACTCAATCGATCAATCTGTTGGAATATAGACCACTTTAATAATTACTCCCGTATTGCACCTGGTGTGTTCACTGATTGATTCGTATTAAGAATAGTTGCTAACATTTAAATCCAAAAAGGACATTTCGTCTTGTTAGAATTTTATCGGCCGAAAGCACCTGGATCTTGACGTTTTTAAACAAACCATCAAACCCAGTACCAATTCACCTTAAATACTCAAATGTTTTGTATCAAGGTATTGAGTTATAATAGCCTGTATTACATGTTTGACAGTTATTACTTATTTCTTTAAAATTATATACTTATCTGTTATTGTGGGGTTTTGAGCTGAATTTTACAAACCTCTATCGTTATATGGCCTCATTGAATGTGTGTCTTAGCATTACTGCTTAGATTCACATTTTGGTGATAACTTTCACACTCTGATCCAGGTGCATCAGGCTAAGATCTCAAAAAATACAAAGTGAATGTTCTGGATCCCTTCGCTAGCCACAATCCAAAGTTGCTAAAACTTGTGGCTAAATGGCAATGTCGAGATAATTTACTGAAGATACACAACAATTAAAGTTGATTAACCATGGTCATAAATGTCAACAATGGGAAAATTCAAATGTCATTCAGCCCCTAATCACTGGTTACGATAACTACACGGACTCCAACCGCGTGGTTCACATATGTTTACATGGATTGACTCAATTGTCATTGAATTAATGGGACAGTCACATGCTTTGATTTAGTCACCCCTAGCTCTCTTTGAGCCTATTGCTGCATCAGATATCTTCCGTCGAAATAGGAGGTGGTTGTGGATGACGGTACACATGTCCCAACCATCTCAGTTGATGGGGATTTAATACCTCACCATCTTTACCTTGTACCCTGTCCCCAACTGGTTACCCGGTCACACTCGTGATTAAGGACTTATGGAACGATTAGTCGGCCATGTTATTTTCGAATAAGTCAACTATTTATGATTGCCAATACTATTTTCTGCCAGTTTTTCGTCATTTTTCAGCAGAATACGTTGAAGATTTTTTCATCTATTTTAACATAAATAGGGTGTTTGGAAGCGCGCTAGACAATGAAAATGATAAAAATAAATTAGTTCGACACAATGAAGCCATTAGACAGCATACGCTAGCAGATTTGAAAATAGCAAAAGTGAGTGAATGCATTTTTGTTGTATCATACAATGGATTATTTTCTGAAATTGCAAAATAGTTTGTCATGTTCTGTAATTTGGGATTGCTTTTTACAGAAAATGAGTATGGACTTAACACAACAATATTTTCGACGAAGTTTAGTAAAGCAACTATAGTAAAGTTAGCTAGGGTCTGGGACAAACGTATCGTTTCAAGTTGCCAATATTGCATGAGGCAAAATTAATACATTATAAAGCAAAATACAGAAAATAATACTAAACTACAATAGAAGTCTGAACAACCCAAAATAACTAATAAAATTAAAGAATACAAAGTTTGAATTGATGTCTGACTTGAAATTTATAAGAAATTAGATAATAATTCCAGCAACACTAATGTGACTAATCTCTCATCGTTTCATCTGTCATTACATTCAATGTTGCATTCATAGTGGCAATCGGGAGATAACCCCTTTGAACCTAGATTCCTTATTAGTTCAAATTAGTCAGGAAAGGTATCTTCAATCTGCCCCAAAATGCCCTGGTACGGCCGAGAGTGGGGAGAGTCTGCTCTCTCTCTCGAAATGCTCTCACATGGCCACGCGTATTTAGCCTCTGCCAGGGAGGTCCTACTCACTGCCTTCTCATGGCATTAGTGTTGTTTACGAAAATGAGAGGACGAAAAGCGAATGGCCGGCGCTTTAACCGGATTCCAAACCAATGGTGCATATGGGCTCCAGTATCCTGCGGGAACAAATGGCGTATGAACCAATCGTTGATCACCGGCTTCCATGGGACTGCATCTCCTTACGATGCTCCACTGTCTTGTGGATCAGACCTTCAGGTCGAAGGCTCGGGGAGTGGCCCCCTAAGATAACCACCGGCTTCGGTTTGGGTACCCGGGCAGTATCACAGCCCTCACACATATCGAATGAGATTTGTGTGACGCATATGTATTTGGTGCTTCCTTGTACCAATACCTATGTGTTAAAATAAACAAATAAATAATCTTCAATCTCACAGAAGCTGATACACTCTGTGAGATTTTGGTAGGACTAACAGATTTACATAGGTTCGTCACGGAGTATTTACTGATATCATGTTACTTAGTCTTTAGTACTGGTTGAATCCTACCAATCAAGTCCCGATGCTGCCAATTTTCGAAGCGATATTATTTTCACATCGAACCTCGTTGTGTTTTTCTGATTCAATGTTTACTATTTACTGATCTCCGTGGTATTACTCCATAAAGTCATGATCTGTTAAACTGAGTGGTTTTGGGTAGGTGAGAAGTACTTGTTTGGGGTCCTCTCGGTAACTGCGATAAGTGGTTGGAGGTGTTGGGGTGATATGACTCAGAGTCGATTAAAATGGTTCAGATTCATTCAGTCTTTATCTTCCTTTAGACTTCGTTGTTAAACCATACTGTCCATGTTTTATGTTTTCTTATTTTTGATACTATTTCTACTACTACTGCTCTATCATTTGTCTTGATAATCTCATCCCACGGCACCAATTTTGTATTATAGCAACTTGATTCGGTGCCAGTAAGTGTCAGACTTTATGTTACTTATAGCTGCCTGACTCAATTACTTACTTACTTACGCCTGTTACTCCTAACGGAGCATAGGCCGCCGACCAGCATTCTCCAACCCTGACTCAATTACTATCGCTAAAATAAGTATATATATAGTATTTAACATTAAAATATATCACCAAATGTAAATCTCATCTGATCTATGTAATTATTGTTATGATAAATTATGGCAAAATAGATATTGATTGCATAGCACATTCACTAAAAATATTCTCAGATAAATCTTAACTCTGATTTATGTTGTAAAATTAAACACGTATGACCATATTTTGATTATAAATGTGAAAAAGGAACACATCAAGGCCAATTCCATTCTGAAAAGACGTAAGAATGATTAACACAAGAACACATCTATTTCATTTGTCAATTCTGTAATGTTTCTTTCCTCTGTATAATCTGAAATCAGAAAATTAATGACCTTGGCTACAGAATTAGTTTGATTTTTAGTCTTATATACTTTGTTTTACGTCAATATCATTCAACTATACTTTCTAATCGGTTCCATAAATTATGACCCTTGAATAAATTGTACATGAATTAACTATAAATGCCTATTGAAGAATTCGTTTCAGTGAGTATAAAGATGCTAATCGTTGTTGCAAACATTCCATTTAAAATCCTTTAGGTTATTTAATATTTGAAGGATAGGAATAAGCATCGTTATCATATACGAAATCAATCTTATAAATACATAAACTACAGTCATCACACTGACTAAGGTGTATCAATCTCATTCCCCCCAAATTGCCTCCCACCTGATTTGCTACAATGCACTGATCCTATTTGTGTTTCGACTGTCTATAACATCGAATTAGAGTCCACACTTTTAGTTTTCCTTGTAATTTCGCATGCTATCATCGAAACACCTTTTTAGTACCGTCTCCTCATGACTAGTTTACTTTTAGAAAACAAAGTGGAACCACAGAGAGTTACGTTTGATGATTAGTTAAGGTAAAACTAGCTAGAAACACCCAAGCAGTCACTCCTGAACATCCAAGCCAATAAATAAATAAGTATATTTGTAATATCCCAATGAGTAGAAAAATTAGATTTTCTGACGTTTCGTGACTTAGTGCAAGCCACTTCTTCAGAGAATAAATAATCAAATTTGCACTAGTATGCGTTCCAGATTGAACCTGTTTGGGGTGCCATTAAAAACCAGGAGCACTGGACAACTGTTTAGTTCTTTACTAGAACTCCTGAAGTAATAAAACTCTTGAAGTCTCCAGAGGTCGAACCCAGTAAATTTAGATCTCTCAGTGAACTCCCAAACTTAAAGCCACTGTGACATTCAATTCCAACTTCAATTAGTTCGCGATATAACCCGACGATCATCTATTTTGTTTGGTGCCGACGACTTTAGATGTTATCCGGATTAAGATCAATTTTTAACGAATGGTACCGAATAATTTAGGGAACTTTCACAATTCACTTCAAGTAAACTGTGTATATATTGATTTAAATGTTTACAAATATTTTTTCTAAAAAGTCATTGTAACAAAAAAATATTAATATGTATTCCGTAAATTTTCATTTATTTACATGTTTTCCAGAATATATGTCCAACATATTTTCCAGCAGATTATGCTATATTTGATCGATTTGTTGAAATGTATCATGAAGCTATCGGAATGCATGTAAGTTTAAATAATAATAATAATAATATACATTATGTTTTAATCTATACACACAGGTTGAAAGTTTAGTACTTGAGGGTCTATCTGATACAGAGATTGTACAACTACTAGGTTGGATAAATTCTTATCAGTAAGTTGCTTTGATCTTTACCATCGTTACAAAATTTATTTTTAGTACTGAAGAATTCATGAAAAATCCTTTCATGAATATTGACTTTAATCGATTGAATTTAAGACATCCGATTAATTTGTTACCTGATGAAAAATTAAATTCACTTCGAAAGCAGTAAGTTTTTATTATGATTATAAACTAGATGATCTATAACTTCATTAATAATCTTGTCCTCTTTATTGAGAACACCAACCGATTTAACTTAAAGAACCACTGAAAACTTGGAAACTCTTGACATCTGTTTCATCCTAATATCGGACTCGTCGGTAGTGCACATCCACGACCGTTCCACAGGGATCAAACCAGCATCCTCGGTCGCCCACGCGAACATTTAACCACTAAATTAACTGAGCCTCAATTCATCGGCGTATAAGTTTAACTTCAGTCAATTCGTGAGATTACGTGACCATCTTCCATTGTCTCTTCCGTGCCATATGTGAGGGATGCGTTCTACATTCCAGTGACAACCTTTATCTAACCTTCATATAAATCTGTTCAGTTAGTTTGTCTTTCAGTACTTAAAACTCGATTTTATAGACGGTACGACTACATTTTTTGCGTTAATTACAACCACCGTATTGGTACTAATTCAATAAAACAAGATTTACATTTGTCAAGAAGTTCGTATGAAATTCTTCCGTTATGTGCTACATGCACCAATTATGCGATAATCAAATATTCCGTTACTACTAATTCTGTCTTGGAATTTTGTGGGAAAAATTATTTATTCAATGTCCTTGTTGAATGAATAATATCTGCCAGTGAAATTAATGATACACATTTTGTCTCCTTTAAGACTCGTCAATTGCATTTACATATGTAGATACGTTTCACATTAGAAGAGAAAGTACCGGATCGGGATCAAGGAGTGAGGGTCAACATTAGGATTCAGGTACATCGAGCTAACGAGTTCCAAATAGAACAAAATGCATGTCTTGATTTCCACTGCGAGCTACGATCCATCTATCCTATAAGAGCTTGTTGATAAAGCTGTTATATCAAGCCAGTACACTCTGGATACCCACATTTCAACTAATCGAAATTCAGTCCAACTTTATAATAACCGGATACTTCAAATCTTTCCCAATGACAATGTAATCCTTGTTGAATTTTGTTTTCCTTATCACTTTTTCAATAGATATGTTTCAAAGACGATTGAACGACTTAAATCATGGTTAGCAAATTCACTCTTAAAGGATACTTCTGTAAGTTTTTCATTGTTGATTTGTTTGTATTTTTATTCATAATTGTATGTAATTGTCGGTTGTGAATTTTCATTTTTCTTATTTGTTCTAGTTTCAAAAATTAGCTTATTATTTCGGTTTATTATCTGTATATATTGATGAAGTTTAGTTAACACTGATCATAGTTAATGCTTCTTTTTATGCCATAGAGTTGTGGTGATGTTTATATACATGAAAATAATGACATCAGTTGTCCAAAAAATATCTCAATTGTGTGTTCTTTAAAACGCCTAAAAATACAAATGATTATTAACGTTTGCTGGGAAATCTTTTGTTTTCCAAGAACTGAATTTAAATCAGCCAGAAAATGGATATTCTTCAATAATCACCATTTTTTAGTTTTTTTAACCTCACAAACACTTGAATCAGACGTCATAAAACTCAGATTCTGAATGACTGGTTTTCAAGGACATCACATAAAATGTAGGAATACCTACGTTTTTCCTCATTTTTCATCGTCGGTTGAACTGGAGACTAAACATTTTTCCCTTTTTGTTTTTTCAATGATTTGATGGCCAGATCAAGCAGTAATGTAACATAATACAAATTCTGTTGAAGCGATCTGCGTTGTTTTTATTCATTCCATTTACTAGCGCATTATTTATATTTGGATACCTAAAGCTGCGTCATAAGTCTTTGAAATACAAATATTTATATTGTAAATCTTCATCTCTCTGCGTCATTTGTTCGATTTTGTGTAACTTGATCGTTATTTCTGAGAGACCTTGGACTTACCAAAAATAGTTTAGTTAAAACTGTGTTGTCTATTTTTCTTAAATAAACCATTTTCTTTGAATTGAATCTAACTTCTAAAGCATCATTGATAAGTTATTCATGTATCATGTTTAATTGATTTAGGATTGGCAACGTTCAACTGGGCCTGAATTAGATGGATCTTCTAATTATTTCACTGATTTGCCTGTATTAGTCATGACACCTATCAATGAAATGGTAAGTTGCTATTATTGTTGCTGTTATTGCTTAACAAGTATTAGGAACTATCAGTAAACGGAATTTTATGTATATCTTCCTAATATGGCTATGACATACGGTGGATTCGAATGACTTGACCTGACATACATGACATTGGCCATCACTCAGTGACCAGTAAATTGCAAATACATCTCATTCCTGCAGGAGGTCAGTCGTGGCCGGCTATTTCAGTGGTAATGTCCTTCACTGCGAAGCTGGATAAAAAACCTTCGAATCCTCCAGGGTGCATCAATCCCCTCAATGTCAGAGACATGCCTTGCTAACGAGTGCCAAATAAAACGAAATCTAGGTCACGTAGGGTCTCTTGCCAACTACCTCTAACCACTACCTTACAACTTTATCTCTCTTTATATACTGAATCCCAATATTCTTTTACACGTACGTCTACATTCTTTCTTCTCGGGCCATATTCTCAATGTTAAGTCTTTATCATCGTTCCTACTGTAATTATTTCGGCTTCTTTAATATTCATCTCTTTGATTTCGTCTCATAGGATTAATGTGATTTATGGCAACATTTTGTCAGATTTCGCGTAGATTGTGATTGACTAACATCTTCGTAAATCTGGTATTGCCAAAATCCTCCTAGACATTAGTTTCCAAGAATCTTCACGTGTTTTTTTAAAAGAAGACTATAAACAACCAATGAATTGCTGCCAAAATGTATGATTATACTTTGAAATTAATCGACGGATTTCTCTTCATTGTTCATAATCTATAGCTGTAAAAACTTTAATCGTCTAACTTAAATTCAATGTCTTTTTGTAATGAATACATGTTAAAATACAAGATTTCCTGTTTTATCTATGGGAGAACAAAGAGCGTAGCAAAAATATGATGAATTCATTTACTTGGTGTGGTTTCTCTTCAGCGGCTTACAAACTAAAAACAATTATTTACAACTAATATACATACTTTATTTCATATTAAGGATGATCAGTAGAATAATGCCAACAGTTATAGAACGAACACTAAATTGGTAAGGGGGATGAATATTTATATATTACTAACTGAAAATTTTAGAAAGAAATTTCAAAACATGCGAAGATACGTTTCTAAAGAATGAAAGTTGATGTCAAAATTACTCAAAACACAGAGACAAAATTTGATAGATTAACAGAGTAAGATTGATAAAGCTCAAAAATGACACAGGAACGAAAGAAAGGGATTTGTTACGAAGTGGAAGACTTTCAAACGTTCCACCTTTTTTGTGGACATGGTCACCAAACATATTCGAAGTTGTCCGGTCATGAATTTTGAACTATTTTAGAACATCAACATCATGTCCGCTGTCAAGAAAATGTTGGAATGAAAAGAATATTGACCTTTTGATCCCATTTTTGTGAAATGTGCCCCCAGACGCGAATAAGAATCCCTGTTTTCCGTTCTAATGTAAATGCCGTAACACAAGCATTTAAATCAATTAATACATTTGAAGGCAACACAAGGTGGGAATTTTTCTGCATCTATCGACATAACTCAGGTCAATGATCGGTGTCCTCATTTTATTACTTGTGAATATTTCACAATTAGTTGAGGTCAGTGGAAAGATTTGAGGCCATCGACTGCTGTACAGTTCCAGTAACACAGAGCACTAAATACTATTTCATTTATAGTTCAAAACAAAAGATATTGATCAATACAATATCAGCGCAATGTCTACACGAGCTAAAGCATAACATAGTGCCGCTTTTGTGATGTCCACTTGGTCTGGGCAGGAACCGATCCTATTGTGTTAGGCTTATTCGCTTGAGACTATTAACCGAACCATTGAACTATTTCCCACACTTCAACCAAAAACCAATTGAGAACACCGAGTATTCCTAAGCAAAGTGTATATTATGCAGTATTATGATAAATGTAAGAGCCATGGAAAGCTTCTATTACAAGTCACATGTTTCTGACTATCCACCCATCTGTTTAGAACATCAACTAATCACCTTTGAGTTTCACCCACACAACAGCCGTCTAATGTCTTTCACTAAAATTGTGGATAATCTTTCAGATGCCTCAGAAGCTTGAATTACAGAATAAACTATATTTTAATCCACTACATTGTTCAGTAATTTTCTTCGACAAAATTGGATTAGTTTACACTATCAATTGGTGGGTAAAGATTTTATACTCTAAAGCAATATTTATTGATATTTTTATGTTGTGCTGCATTGACGATCTTATTGGGAAGAAAAATTTCTCCACTCAATTTGCATGTTGTTTTTCTTAAACCTATTTTTGCACAGATTGGTAAAGGTAATTTATTGCATTATCTGGGCAATGCTGTAAGAGAACAATTTTTTACTCAATGTGTTGAAGAGATGGCGCTTTTCGTGAAAGATTACGATGGTAAGGATTCTGTTTCTTTGCTTAGTTACCTTATTTACTGGTGGTTGTTCGATAGCGATCTGTAGTAAATTCTTGCTTTATCAGTTTAGGGTTGTGGAGATTGTTGAGTTTAAATTGATATCATGAATGGATCAATTTTAGACTACCATTGAAAACTTGGAAGCACTAGATGGCCGTTTCGTCTTAGTATGGGGCTCCTCAGCAGTGTGCATCCGCGATCCCACCTGCGGGACTCGAACCCAAGACCTCCAGACTTGCGCGTGAGTGCCTAATCTTTAGACCACCGAACCGCCATCCAACGGCGTCAATGTCTAACTTCAACCAATCCACGATATTGCGCAACCATATATTGGTAGATTTTTCTTAAGCTTTAACCAGATACGATCTATCCACCACTGCGTTCTGAATTTCGCTCAAAAATCCAACTGCCTCTGTCTTGAATCTGATTGGTCCGTCGGCTAAGTATATTTTTATTGTACCATGAAATAAATGATATTTATTTTGTTTTAGTGCCTGTGATATAACAATGATAACTTTCATGATGAAATCACTATAACCCAGCTCATACCTGTTCATGTCATTAGTTTTGTCGCACATATGCACACACTTGAGTGTATAAATGATACACTATTCAGTTTCCCAAATGCTATTAAGTAACTTGACATGTTTTAATGTCCAATCTTACCACTTTGACGTTAGTACTTAATAATGCACCATAGCTTTCGTTTTGTATCCTATATTGTAGCTCCACAAACTATACTACCCATCGACTGGATAATGTTTGCATAGTTTAATACTGCAGTGTACATAATTTCATTTTGTTTCATATAATTTTTTTGTACCTTACATGTGCATTGGTTATTAGATGATATTAAAAAGTACAGAGCAGCCTACATACAAGACAGATCGAAATTTCCATGCTATATAGAATACATTGTAAGTATTCCTTGATAATTCCAATCTTTGTGTATTATTATTATTATTATTATTATTATTATTATTATTTAATTCGTTATACCTAATTTTGCGATATGCATGGTAATGACGTTGATACTGGTCGCACATGTATGCATTAAGCTATATGTAACATTTATCTGTCTGTTTCTGTTTTTCTCACTGAGCCATAAACATAAGTAACATATGTGTAGATTTGAAGAAAAAATAGGTATGTAATTTTCACTTAAATGTCAAGTATTTTAAAAAAACCTCCAGGACTTCTGTACCTTTATTCACTTTTTGAGGTAATGAACCGTTAGGAATATTATTGGAAAATTCTTATATCTAACTAGTTGTGTGAGTACTGGTGGCAATGTACTAATTTTTAAATAATGAATGCTAAAATGACTTATGTCAATACGGGTCATATTTAACCTCCTGATGTATTAAATGATTCGAATTAGATGGAAATAGTTTCAAACTCACAACACCGTGGTTAGTAATAATAATAATAATAGACTGACCTATTGCAGTCATCGGGAAAGTTCAAATGATCAATGCATATCAGTTAAACCTTACTCTGTTGCACAAGCCAGTAGTTATCTGGATTCAGTAGTTAAGTGCATAATGCGATGGGATTTGAAGCAAATAGATCTGAGTCCGACTCCTGGAATGCACATCAGCTCTGGGATGCAGGTACATCCAGTTGACAAGTCCTAAATAGGATGAATTCCGCTTCCTAAATTTCAATGCTAGCCATCATCCATTCCTGTTTATAAGGTAAGTAGCTTAGTAGCAATGTCGAGACAATCCACACAGGATGCACATATTCGAAAAGCGACTAAGCAATCGCAGTTCTGAACATCAATGGTAAGATTCAAACAACCATTACAAATGTATTTATTTATTTATTTGAACACATAAATATCGGTACAAGGGGCATCGAATGTATATGCGCCACACAAGTCACTTGATTTGTGTGTAGGCTGTGTTACTACCCGGGTGCCCAGACCGAAGCACAGTCAATACAAATGAATAATTATAGTAATTGCTTTAAGTAGTATTGCATATTGAGTACAGTATGATATTCTCTTATGATTCTCGTATGATATTCTTTTATTAGTTGTGAGTGACTATCATTTCTCGAATTAGTAGAATTCATTGCAAATAAAAACATTTCGATAACAATATAATAAGTTAGGACGAATTCTAACATTTTGATGAAATACTTATTAATAATTTATTTAAAGGCAATGCTGAATGCTAGAGAAAAAAATCTCATTCCATCCAAATGTACACCTAAGAACAGCAATTTTCTACCCGAGCTTCACGGTTCAATAGGCTAACCACTGTCATTATAACAGTTACTTCCTTTTAATCATCTAACTTCTTTTTTCAATATTTGTTCCAGTTAGCCAATGCAAATGGTGCATGTATGATTGCGCATAGTTTTGTCACAGTAATTATGGATGAATTGACTGAAGATTCACATCTTAAAGGGAATCTGACAGCTAGGATTAGTCATTTGAAATCAGAATATGAAAAAGTAGCTGAACAATGGTGAGTGTTTGTTGTTTCATCTGTTGGCTGAATTTTGTTATGAGTTCTACGTGGGACTCATGCTAAATATCATGTAAGGTATCCGTGAACTAATCCCTTACAAGTCACTTATCATTACTATTTGCGTGAATTTTAAAATCTGGTATCCTATAAAATATTTGAAAGGTATCAGTCAGTATTTGGTCATTGAATCTCATATTTAGTTTAATTTAAAACTTTTCATCGGGACTAAAACTGTTATGATCCCGTTAACATTGGGTGGATATCGCACATTGTATTATGAGTTAACTGAAGCTAGAAATATAGATCATTTGATTCTAACTCAGCTGTTCTAGAGCGTCGTGTTAAATGAGACTTGCATCGTAACAGGTAATTTGGATGCCAAACTGGGTAGGCTAAATTAAATTGAGAGACAATTGAGTGAACCTTTTGATTTCTTAATTCAGTGAACAGGAAACGAAGACTGTCTGTTGCTTAGATGATCTTTTATTTCTACCAACCACCATTTTTAAAAACTCGAAAAGTTCTCGTCTGACACTGATTTCAAGAATTAACTGGACGATGAACGAAAATGCGCAATATTACCACTGGCCATCTCTAGGATACCTCGATTAAAACATTTGCTCTGTCCGGAACACATATTGGGCTCTGACCACTCTCTGGTGCAAGTACGCGTCCCCTCTGAGCCTTACTGAACGCAGAAAAGTTACAACGTGGAAAACTTTAGGAGTTCAGCTCAACAATAAGCATATTTCAGGGACAACTAAAGAAGAACAATTACGAAAGTAATGCTCACGCCGATGTAGTTTAATTCACAACTAACAGTGTTAGACTTGAAAGTTCTAGGTTGTATTCGACGTACAGAGAGAGTCATGAGTAGGCACTGATCTGAACCTTTAAAACTAGCACAAGACAAGTTAAAGGTATGCTCCCTAATTTTCCAACTAATTTCTGTCTTTAACGAGAAGCTTCTGCAATTTTTAACTATCAATTCAGTATCTGTGAGATTTCACCAAAATTGTTTTTATTTCACACAAACTTTGTAAAGATTATATCGTTTTCTCCGATAAATAAACTGGTTGTGGTTTGTTCTTTTCTGAGAGTATTTACTTATCGTACACTTGATCCTATATGTGATGTCAGTTTGTTACGACCTTAATTTATCTGCTCATTAGTCTGTGCTTAGTATACAGCGAGAAAGAGTTATCTCAATCTAGTTTACGGATTTGATATAATGGGCTACTTAGCAATACCTTAGGACTTGCAACGCGCTAGTTCAATGTGTTTGTGAGCGGCCTTGGAAGTAACAAAAGAAGAAACCATTCTACATTGACTAGTTGGCAAGCAGAGAGAGAAAATGACTTACCTGAAATTGTATATCTGACTTATTTCTGATCCTATCAAGGTACATGAGTAAATATCTAACAGAAGCATAACACAAAAGGAACGAGAAAAATACAGTTACATTCAAACTATAACATTAAAGTAGACAAAATGAAATCCGAGGATCACGTTTAAATTACAGTGATTTTGAGATGGTAGAGAACATGCCAGTTATTTAAACTATAAACGAAAGCTTATGATTCGTAGATTAAAGTAGGCTCTATACTTTGGATTAAGTGCGATTAGGTCCCGAGAAATAAATTACGTTAATTATCATTGTTCCGATGTTCTTTTTTTTCACGTCAGATGTTTTCTTATGCTTATTATCTTAATTGTTATGCTATAAAAATGAATTCATATTATTCTGTGTCAATATTCGTCCTTGTTTTACTCAAATTCGTCAAGGAAGCCAGTTGTATGGTATTATCTATAAACACTTCGATTATTTTAATGATTTTAAATCTTCAGTCGACAATTTATCCTTATCTAACGAAATTTTCCTATATATATATATAATATTTTATTATAGGATAGCTTATGCTGAAGAAACCGTATTCATGGATTTAAATCGTGTACTAAGCGTGATTATGACATCTCAATGGTGAGTGCATATGTATATATGGAGTTAGCAAAATCGTGTTTCATACCTATTGTAGAAATATCGATGGTTTAACACTGAACACTTTACCCAATACTATTTGCTTCAAGCTCCATCACGTTATCCATTTAGCTACGGAGTCCTAATAGCTAGGGTTCGAGTCCCGGAGTGAATGTTAACTCTGGGATGCATGCACATCCAACTGACGATTCCCAAAATGGGACAGCATGTGCATCCTGGATTCCACTTCTAGCCACTATCATCTCTGCTTATAATGCTTGTGACTTAAAATAACATGGAGGCAATCCGCACAGGATGCACGTATACCAACAAGAGACTGATCATTTGCAGTCCTTAACATCCATAGGAAGATTCAAACAACCAACACGAAAACGAATTATATTGTTTAACATTCAGGTGCACAAACTAAGGCATCATCATGTACCATTATCATTTTACAAAATATGTAACTGGTTATACTTTTTTACATATCAATACCGAGGTGACATTTGTCAAATGAACTAACAGTTTCGATCGATTTATTGTTTGTTCATCGATTACCTACTGGATAAGTATTGATCTCCGTTGAAATCATATACTGATCATAACTAAACCACTATTGAAAACCCGGATTCACTGAACGGCCGTTTATTCCTAGAACTCTTAAACAATGCGCATCCACGATCCCGCACGCGAACGCTTAACTTCTAAACAACTGAGCTGCCATCCTACAGTGTTGACGTCTAAATTCAATAAATCCATTTTCTTTCTCAACACTTCATCCATTGCTTGTGGTAGATAACTGTCTTACACACGACGTGGATTAATATTAATTGGTCACAGCTTCTGACTACAACTCCGGCAGTTACGTCTTGAAGTTAGTCGCTAGATAGCACGTGGTTTTCTTAGTATGCGGGATTTGTGGAGATTGTAGTTGTTCCAGCGTTGAAATCGCTAACCCATCCTAGCTAGACCGCCATTAAAAATCTAGACGTTAACACCATTAGATGCCGGATCAGTAGCTTAGGGGTTAGTGGTTCGAACACGAGAGAAAAGGTTCTGAGGCTAATCCTTTGTTGCGGAGTCGTGGATGCCTATTGCTAAGGAGTCCCGTACTAGTACGAAACGGCCGCCCTGTGCTTCTAGGATTTCAGTGGTGGTCTAGCTAAGAATGATTCATGTTTTCAACGGTAAAAATAATACAATCTCCACAAATTCTGTATATTTAATAATAATCTGACTATAGAATAATGTCATTTATACTTCTCATGGTTGGAACTCAGTGAATAGTTTAGCTTGTCTTGTTGCAGACTTTCGTCTCATTCGCCGGATTAGAGGAATAGTAATTTCTTAAAATGTAGCTTTAGTATGTATTGTTATTGTATATTAGAGTAAAGCCTAATGAGAATCTTACTGAAAATAATACTGTTCGCGTATATATGTTGTTCCGATTCACATTATTTAGTGTTAATGTCTTGTAAACAGCAATTTTTGTTTACGCTCTGTTACCCCATCCAGATAAATTGTTTAGTATGTTTCTTACTTGGGACATTTTTATTCATTTCTCTTATCGTTCTCTTTGGTCACTCCCCCCAATACACTTAATCTGTATGTTTATTATTATTATTATTTTACAAATTATTGAAAACAGGCTACGCCCGGATGACATGACAACACAATATCTGGTTGGTACATTAGCCGATTATGATGAAACATTGAAGCATACAAGACAAAATTTATATGATAAATTAGCTGAAAAATTGGCTGAACGAATGTTAATTGAATACTTGAAAGCATTAATAAGCCGGTATAACAATTATTCATAATCAGTATGATTTGTTATCAATGTTATTTCAATTATAGTTGTTATATTAACAATTTACTGCATATTCTCTTCAATAAGTACACAAATTGATGTCATGCGAACTCTAATATAATTTAGGATAATATTCTTATTGCCTTACGAAATAATTCTCATTTGTAAAACAATATACTTGTCCTGTGTGCTTGTCCACTGTCCTGAAAGTCTCTAAAAACCCTGATAAGTTAAGTTATTCGGCTGCCTCAGTTCGGCGTTTGCTAGAATCATTTAGACATAATATTTTCAAATTCAACTCATTAGTAATTATCTGGATAAAGAGTCAGTAATTAGAAAGCATAAGAAACCCTAAAGCGTTCAGTATTTTTTCTTGATATAAATGATCGAGAACTTTCCTAACGTCGTATTGTCCTTGTTATCCTCAAAGGTCTTAACGAAACTCTTGACTTATAATTTTCGATTATTCTGCACTAATACTAATAACATGCGGAGATAGTTTAACAGTAGACTGTCGACAATCCACTGAATTATCGCAAATATAATGAGTTAACAGGTGTGTAACAATAATCTTAAAATATCTTGCTGTTCACATAATACCTGGATCACTTAAAATTATCTGGTAGTTCAGTATGATTGTTTTTCAAAGAAAATTTATTGACCATTTTATAAAATACTAAATATGTTCTAACAGTGTCATTTATACCAATGTCTATAAAAATTCAAGTAGGATGAGTACAATTTTCATAATAAGTAAACCTCTCTTGAAAATGTTTACCGGTTTAACAGTAAGCATCAACTAAAAAACAGGTTTTGTTACATTAATTTGATAAAGGTAATGGAGGAGGAAACGAAATAACAACTGAGAATTTAATTAGCACATCATAATGTACCGATAATTAATATGACGAATAACCAGCAATATATCAGTCAATTAGCGGAATATAAAATCTAAACAAAGCACAGAATATGTTGAACTTTGAGCATTTCATTATATTGTCAAACATAAAATGGAAATGAAATTTTCCATTATATATGTTTATTTTGATCTTATTGTGCATAGACGAAGTCCGCTTTCTACAGAATCTGATAGAAAAAAAGCTGGTGAGAAAATCACACGAGATGGACATGATTTAAAGAATTATTTTGAAGAGAAAATGAAAGTGAAAAGTGAAGTAAGTAGATTTATGTTGATTAATATCTAATTTATCATTCAGGATATGGGGTATATGCTGTTTTTTTTTCAAAACAAAGCAAATATGCCACAATTTAGAGTGTCACATTAAATAAGATTATTTTCGTTGCTTTTTATGTAATCTGACCTTAGCTGCTATCTTAACATGGTGGTTATACTTTATGATGACTGGAACATTTATTCCTTTAGATCTTACTTTTCCAGATATATCTGTTGAGGAACTGTAAAACTAGAAAAAATGTGCTAAAGTCCTATGGCTAATTCGTACTACTGGCTGTAGTAGTATGTGTTGGTAGTACGGTATTTCCCTTAGACATCCAGCATCTACAGCGGTGCTGCAGGAGGGAGACAGTTAAAAAGATCGACCGTAATAATAGTATACTTCACCTTAATCCTCGGATAACCATCAATTGTGTTAAGGCTTTAGATGTAACGAGTTAACTCACCTAAAGCTCCTCACATTAAAGCCTTGTGTAGCCGTCCCCAACCCATTGTCTCTTGAACTGTGCTACTAAGGCCACCTCTAACCCAGTATTTTTTCAGGCCCCTCAATAAGAAGTTTCCCTCTACAATGGGACAGTTGGAAAATGACAGACACCTACATAATATAACCGTTTTGTATGAAATACGAAAATATCGTAAGTATTGTATAATCTTATGGTTTACAGAAACGACTGATTCACTTACTATCAGTAAAATATTCATATTTTTAAACTGCGTGGTAAGGATCTCTTGTCAACTTCATCATAGCGTTTTATTCATTCACCGAAATTCAGAATAGTCAGAATCCATTACTATTATTTCGTTTCTACAATCAATTTACGACATTTCAACTACGTACATAACATAACATACCAGTCGGTAATTCTTAGTAATACGTTTGACCAGTAAAGTAGACTCCAAAAGTTACTAAAGGAACTGAGTACATTTGTTGTGTGGATAGGATGCAATCTTAGTTCTACGTTTTGTTGTATTTAAGACTCGTCATCTAGGTGTATCTGCTTTCCAACGTTAATTTTCACAGTGAGTCTTGAACTCAGTATACTTCGTTTCAAACTCGTCTCACTGTGAACATCAACACTGGAGAAAGGATATATCCAGCTGACAATTCTCAAATAGAATGAGATTCCACTGCTAGCGAAATACCAAATATACTAAAACACAGAATATCTCTATTTCGAGGCAATCTACTTATCATTTCCAGTCCTGATTCTCAATAACGGGAAGTTCGGGACCATCCTTACTATAAATATTTTCACAATTAGGTAACTGTAAATCTATGAACTCAGTAAATAGTATTTATTTAGCAAATATTGCAGGACATATATCTCATATATTTCTTATAAACAATTTTAGGTAATTATGGCATACGACGCTTTAACAACTATCGGTCAGTTGTTCCTTACAACTGATACATCAATGTTACCCTTGGATATTGCTGTAAGTGTTTTTTTGTTTATATGAATGGATCCATTTTTCTTTTCTTATTAATTAACCAACAAATTCTGTTCAAAATTTTGCTTTTCGTTGTAAACCTGCTATTTTAGTCAACATTTCTAAAATGTTAGCCTATTGCAATAACCATGGCTCATTGTTAGACTAATGTTGCACATTAGTTCCACTGCATTTTTGTGCTGCTTACATCTATCGTGTGGTTAATACTTATTTTGTCAAAATTCAATTATACATTCGCATATGTTATATAAACGAACCACCTTAGGTCGTACGTTGTATAATTTTTATTATACTGAACAAGCTTAATATGTTATTAAAACGGTATTGTAATTGATAAGTGAATAAAAATCATTTGTCGAAATAATTATTTGTAAAATAATTAATTTGTAAAAAATAATTTTTTCAAATACACCAAAATACTTGTGTTAAGTACGTGTAAACAAGTCGTAAAGGTAGACCTTTATGAATCATTCTGCGGCGGATAATATATATAATACATATATACATATAATACATATAACCGTTGGGTGTCAGGAAGCCACTCATCAAAGACAGTGAAGGATAGATCGAAGTTAGACTTGTACACCATTAGATCCCAGCTCAGTGGTTTAAAATCTTTATGTTCACACTCGATACTGAAGGTCCTGAATCCGATCCCCTATTGCGAGGCCGTGGATGCGCGCTGCTGAGGAGTCCCATAAAAGGATGAAATAGCTGTCCAGTGTCTCCAGGTTTTAAACGGTTGTCCAACATTTCCCACAACCTTGTATTGACGTATAGTCCAATTACATACGAATTGTAATTTTTTGTTTGTTCTGCGTCGTGGTCATGTTACTAATCAATTTCATCCTATGAGTTTGATCGTTTGTGTCATTGGCTTAAGCAAGGTTCTTTGGTCCGATAGACGTAATGCAAACTTACCGTTAGTGGACTCAATAATTAAGTAGTCGAATTGAGTAGGCGTATGGAGGTTGATGTCATAACTTATACAAAATGTATCCAATGTAGTTGCTTAAGACGAATAATTGTAGGATAAGAATCTGTGTAGATCATTCACCAGTAAAGCACATCATACATTTATCCTATTTTATATACATCAGTAGAAAAAAGTTTAAAATCATATCAAAATCATCAAATAAATATTCTTTTAAAGATAGTTAGTCATGCTAGTAAGAAAATTGGTCCATTATCCATCAGTAATATTTTAAAAAATACATTTTCAGAGACGTCTGATCATTTTAAATACATAAATTTTCTCATCTGTTACTTACTTTCTATAATACTAGGTTATAATTACCGTGCTATGATACTCATCTCTTTGTGTCAGAAAATAGAGTCCCTAGACTTTAAAGAGTCTACTAATAATGATGAGTTAATTTACGCGTATCAGACCTATATCATAAATCACCTCCGACACATAATGTCATTGAGTCTTTTAGAATTTATTTATTAATATGTGTGTATGTGTATTGCTTCTAGAATTTGAAACGTCAATTTCCTGATGTTCGTTCCGATCAAGTTTATGCCTTGCTTGTTGCTCGTGGAGATGTTACATCTGACAATGCTAAAGGAGTAAGTTTCCAAGGAAAATAAAGAGCTCTTCAATAATTAGAAGTATTCAATTTTTCTTGGGGGTTGTTTTTATTTTAGATTCGATTGTAGTTGGCTGCTTCTCACTGTGGCTAAATGGCATTTTATCGAGGTTGTATGGTGAATAACTGGAACCCAATAGACGCGTTTCACCCCACTCGAGATTCATCAGCTGGATGTTCCTGCATCTCTCAGTGTTGATGTTCACATGGAGATTCGAACTCATCACCTCTCAGCTTAAGTACCATCATTTTATCCACTGAGTTGCTGATTCCGATTTCTTACCAGGCCTCTCTAATAGGATAAAACGCACCTCCTGCATCCTATCTTTACCCATTATCCAACCTTAATAAAAGCCTGTGACTAAATGGCAGTATTGGGAAAATCCGTTTACGATGCACATATACCAATAAAGACTAAACAGACAATTATTAACATTGATAACGGGAGAAAGAAAACCTGTACAAGTTAGATGATTAGTCAGGCTTACCGACTTATATAGCTCAATCTTCAAAATATCGGGTATTAAGAATCACAGTATGTCCAAAGTCATTTAAGATTGATTTTCAGTTTTATTTTCATTAACCAAAGAATTCTTTATTTTTCTGGGACTTAATATTCTGAGTACAATACGCTATTGAAAATAATATCCTCCTAGAAAAACTCATTAATATTCCGAGAATATTCTTCAAACTGGTAACACAATTTCAAAGCTTTGTGGTAGTTTAAACAGCTTTATTTATTTTCTCGTTAGATTTTGAATTGTGTTGCCATCGTATCCCAAGTGTCTTGGATAATGGCTTCCATTTCTTGCGATTCACAAAAGTTCAGCTAATTCTAAGGTTACTCGCTCAACAGTCGCAACGGGAACGAGCTTATCTAACTTCGTGGTTAGACTCTTATTACTTTGCAATCGTATGTGAGTACTATCATAACCAATTTTCGTTCCGAAAACCTCTGAGCTTCAGTAATGTTGCATTCGATTGTTCAATAGCTTGACCGCTTTTGTCAGGCATTTCCTGGATACTCTGACAGGTGGGGTGAGTTTATCCATACTCGGAAGGTTCGGCCTTCCTAATATCAATTGATAGTCAGTGAGTACCGATAAGACGAAGATTCCGTACTAAACCACAAATGCTCCCGATTCCCTGTTAAAACCCAGTGTTGAGTAGTAGTAATAATTCTTTTATGAAAGTCAGTACAGAATACACACCAGTTTACAGGCATGATCAGGTTGATACAAATTGTTAGTTAAGACTCAATTCACTTAATCTGAATAAACATGGATTCCAAGTAACTTCCAGGACGGATTTAAATTAGTGAGTATTGAACAATGAGAGCTGTGGGGAATGTAAATAAGTAAATCAGTATTAATACTTTTTACTCCGTAATGCAACGTGGTGTAGGCTACCAGTTGAAATTCGGGGAACAGGTACTATGAACCACTTCACTCGCGATATAAATGGACTCCTTAGTGACTATAGGACACTGCTTAAGCCACCTGTGTACTTGGACTTTATTTCTTTTGTAATTTTATAACGCAAAAATATATTTACGTACTTACTATTATACTTAAGTAAGTCTACGAATCACTTTTTAAGTACTTGTCTTGTGGTCGCTTTAGAAATTATCTGACTATATTCGATACTTGACACAGAGTGTAGTCCATCAATATCAGAAAGATGTTCTATTTAAATAAACAAAGGTATACTGTGCAATACAGTATAATAAATATGTAGAGCGATCTACGAAAACTGTATATAGTTCTCTGGTCACTTCTTGTTTGGCAATTTTTCTGTTGTCGATAGATATGTGTCATAACTTAAAAAAAAACCTATTCACAACATAATATTAAATATAACGATATGTAGAGACCGTATTTCAGTCTACTAAAACCGTGGTAATAAATTAAGCGGACCCTTTTGTTTTGGTGCTTGCCTTGTTCTCATTTTACAGTATCGTTTTCTTGTTCGTTGGTCAATTACTGTCCTTTAAAATAAATATTTCCAGCTTCAGCACTTGTCCGCGCATTCTAGCAAGTCATACTTGTAATTTTTAGGAGTTTAATCTTCCGCTGAAACTGGCACATGAAGTTCGTGACTGACGAATTCCAGAATTAGGAAACAGGGGAGCAATATATTTATTACTGTTCAGTAATCAGTTGTCTCATTCTTTTATTTTTTGGTTACTCTTTTTATTATGCTTGCTTTCACTTTGCATTCAAAGTCTTTGTACTCATTTACTTTTTGGTTGAGTGGATCAGCCTTATTTCACAAATCCTCCGGGGTAATTGTCACTATATTCGGTCGAGTCTCGAACAGAACGAAAATTACTGTATTCTGGTATCCGAACCCATGCTCAAATGTATTTTCAGTTTAAAATATATGATGTTAAATGTTGAAATTTATGCCTATGTGTTAAGTTATGAAAGCGTTATTATAAATTTATATTACTTACAAGTAGTATCATTTCACTTCGAGACTATTGTGTGAACTCGAATTTTTCAATTTTATCTAACCGTGACACTATGATTTATTTTCTTAGCTTTCGGCTGACTCTCATTACGGAAGGGAATTGTCACAGAAGCCATCACCGTTCGCAATTTTCACACGATTAGTTGTCGCAATGGACACACATTAGTGCTCACTTTCTGGCCGGAAAAGAAATAATGTAAAATTGATCAATTTCGTGACTTTTTCAATCCCATTATTTTTATCTTTATAATATAATCACTGAGTTACTTTCTACGTTTTATTTATTTATCTTTTGCTTCAGATAAACCCTTAAATTAAAACAATCAAAAGTTTATATTCTAACCATTTTTGTTTAATTGCACGGAATGTCGAAAGTCACATCTGCAGTTCTATTTTTGTATCATGTCATCAGTAGATCTAACATAATAATGTAAGCATTAAGTGCGACTTGACTTACGGTGATAAATTATTAAATTGATTTGACATACATGGCCCTCATACCAGTAGGGGGGACGAGTTTATTTGCATAACGATACAGTATACACCACGAAAACTGGGATGTTCGAAGCCATATTTGCGTATTGAAAAGAAAAACTGGTTGACTAAGGACGCAACTGGCATTCTAGTTCCGTCATAATTGCGAATAGCTCACATCTGATTATAGTCGACGTAGACATCAAGGGCCTGGACTTCATATCACATAGCGTCAGAAACCTCATGTTGTAATTCGTGTGAAGTAAGAACTTCTTGTGGAATTCAATTGAGAAGCATTAGGACTAGAAGTATAAAGCGTTATGAGTCGAAATTTGTTGCAGAAATAACTAGTCGTAAAAAATAAGTAGTCCTTCAAGTCTTAAAAGTCAAAGCTGATCTCATTAGTTCTACTGGACTCATCCTTGGAGATGCCAATCGCCTAAGCATCCGCATCAGATCACGATTGCTTATTCCATGCTACTACTAGCCAAACGCAACTGCATATATCGATAGCTTTCCAAATAAACCTCCTGATAAGTCTTGCGAATTGAACGCTATAATCGTTTCCTAAGCTATTCTGTAACCCCCAAGCTAGAACTATACAGCGACCTGAACACAAGAGAGAAGACACAAAGTATGCGAGAAAATACTTTACTCCAAGGTTCATTTTTGTACAGAAAGCACGGGTATTTATAGATGTTAACATTTGTTAAATCGGTGAAACTATAATTTATGGACGACCTTTGAACGAATTTTTAAGTGACCTTGAGTACATTAGCCAATCGGAAGAGAGTTAGTATAAAGTAAAAATATATTACAAAAGAGTGATGAATTACAATGGATATTCTTCTTTTACATTATTTGAGAACTTGTTGAGGTTTGATATAGGTTCAGAAGTTTCGAAATCATAGTGCATGAGGTATGAGAACTCGTTCATATGACTATAATAATCGTCCTCTGAAGCCGTGGTAGGGTTTTAAAGAATACTTCAGCCTAGACCACATGCCCTCAATGTTGTTTGTATGGACCTCCCGTCGTTGGATCAAACAAATGACGTTTATACACCACTACATGATGCACAAAACCAAGTCTGGAGAGGCATCTATACGCTTTCCAAACATCGGTATAGTCGCAGCTAATGTTACTGGAGACTTTATGATCCAATTTGCAACGATTATCATGGTCTGTCTTAGCCTTAGCCGTGACCGGGTAAAAAAAGTGCCAGTTCGAGCAGACTTTTTTCTACAACATATATTACAACGAAATACAATGTCATCGCGGCAGTCTGCACATCGTGCTGCGGTCATTTAATTGCCGCAGTCACAGACACAGGAACTTCCTAATAGTCCCATCTGCTGTAGTCTCTCAATGATCACCTATTCTCTAAAATCTGCTGTAAAACGATCGAATGTGAGCATCCCGCACTGAACTTAGCGCCATGACCTTGAAATTCCTTGAACGCTTCTGATTGACTCGTCCATAAATTAGAGTCCTACCGTTAAATCAACATCATATCTTAGGCAATCCGCTAAAAGACATGTCATACTTCTGACCAATAGTAACACGCCACGTTGACATTCCAGAAAGCTCCATCATCCTCTGATTGGCCAGGACACTTCGGTTCCTCTAGAGGCTCCGTTGCAGTTGTCCGGAAGCCGATTCAACACCTCCCCCGAATAAGATTTCTCCCTAGGATCTACTTGTAGAGTGACATCTGGGTTGTGGCGGCGTCCCATTATTCTTTTCGTCTGCCTTTTCCGAGGCTTCTTTTCAGTGTCCTTGGGCATATGTAGCGTTGGTGTGTCTAAGATAACTCCAACAGGAAATTTGGCCGGTTTTTTCGAGTCTGCATCGTTTCTTTTTCCTTATGGGTTTGATTCGTATGTCGTATACGTGTCCCAAAAGATCCTCGGACTCTGTGCAGGACGTTCCCCAATTTTTGTACAACTTTTACGGGCTCCCATCGGTTCTTTCCGATGTAGGATTTAATGAAAACTTCGTCACCAATATTGAAGCTCCGGTCATCTGCATTTTGACTGTGCCCATCCACTAATTTGGATGGCAACATGGCATTGAAAACGGTCCGATTACGCCTTCCGAATATGGCTTTAGCAGGGGACTTACCATACGGAACATTTTTGGGTTCGGAGTGGCTCTGTAGGATGTTAAAGATTTGTGACTACCTGTCCAGTGGTCCTTTCGCCTCCTCCTTTCAGTAAAGCTCGTTTGAAGGTGCCCACGAAGCGTTCTGCCTGTCCGTTAGATTGCGGATGATAGGGCGCAGATCGAAGATGAGTTATCCCATTTATGCTATAGAAATGCCTAAACCATTCTGCGGCGAATTGCGAGCCGTTATCCGTTACTAAGGTCGCGGGTACTTCAACGCAGCTAAACAGGGTAGACAACTTGTGGGTTGTTTCTGATGTTGTGCAGTTCGGCATGGTATATGCTTCCGGCCATTTAGTAAATGCATCTACGATCATTAGACACATTGTTCCTTGGATTGAACCAGCAGAATTTGCGTGAAGTCTTACTCAGGGTCCTGCAGGAGTAGGCCAATACTGAGGTTCACATTTCAAAGGACTTTTAGCGGCTTGAATGCATGATGAACAGTTACGGCATTTATCTCGATATCTTTGTCCATTGACGGCCAATAAGCATAACTACGAGGCTCTGTTGCAGTTGTCCGAAAGCCGACTCAACACCTTTGAGCCCTTTCATTTTTGACTTCTGATTTAACTGGCTTGATATTCTTCGATTATAATGGTGTTACGTGTCAAGGCGTTGTAATACCCTATATACCCGTGGCACATTCATATTGATAAATTCTGTATTCGCACATTGTTTTCTATTTTATCAGCTTCGACTTATTATTCATTTAGTCATATGGTGTTGTTTCGCTGGCAGCACGGGATTTTCTGTGGAATAGATTGCCTCTTCTCAAGGAACATACATTTTAGTTGTGTTTTATTTTAATTGGAATGATCTCGATGCATCAGTGTAAGTATACGTTGAAGTTTGTGCACCTCAGTGAATTTCACTGTTTCTTTTTCAGATGTTAGACATGAGGGTGACGTTTTTGTTGTAAATTATCTGTTACGTTGATCCATAAATATTTATGGACTGTTATCGGTAACCACCAAAGTATATTTACATAAAGACTACGAATTTCGAGTCTACGTGAGCAAATCTCTCTAAAAGTGAGTGAGACAAAAATACTCACATAGACTCTTTAGGTTAATAACGAAGAAAGGCAGTTTCGTAGCAATCTAGCATTTGTTTCTGATCTTGTGGACCTTGTTGAGTATATCTAGTGGTGTGTCATTACCATTTATGGTCAGAAAAAAGCTCGGCACATCTTTGCTCTTGAGGTCGATAACTTATAAATGGCACGCCCACTATTTTGTACAACCGTATTGTCTACAAGAGCGCTTACAAAAGGCTTTTGTCACCACACTGACATTTTTTTACTCAATTGCATGTCGTTGTGAGACATATATTTCGATTTATTCATAAGATTGTCAAACTATGTAAAAGCTGCATTAGGAGGGTCAGTGTTCACATCGATATTATAACATTTGTTCAAAACTTAAAGTCAATAACGTTATGCCATAAAAATTCGATTACATATACTGTATTACATTAAAGGGGAAATATGGCATTCGATTGTGTTTATCAAAATTATCAAAACACCACTTTAATATATGCGTTAGGTTCTCATAAAAACGTGCCCAGATCTACTTTTGCGGGTTATTTGAAAGTCATAGGATGATTGTTTAGCTTGGCAGTAAGTGATTCCATTAATTTTTCAACCGGTCTCATAAGGACCTAGGGGTGACAGTGAGCAATGATCTTAAGACGACGGCCCATTGCCGGGAGGTCGCAGTTAAGGGGCTTCGAACCCTCTGGGCTTTAAAAAGGACATTCACTAAGCTTGATACTACCATGTTCACCACATTATATACATCCTTAGTGAGAACTAAGTTAGAGAACTGTGTTCAGGCTGCAAGCCCCTGTTTAAAAGGTGACTCAGACATACTAGAAAAGGTACAGAGGGCATCTACGCGTGCAATTCCGGAACTCTGGGGTTTATCATATAAAGAGCGGCTTGAAAAATTGTACCTCTTTACTCTGTCCTATCGCAGACTAAGGGGAGATCTAATATTGATGTACAGAATACTGAGAAATGATTTCGGACCTAACTTATTCTCTCTCTTTCTTCCCACTAGATCGGGACACCTCAGAGGACATAGCAGGCGAGTAGAAAAGCCAAGAACGAACAAAATACCCGTGGCATACAGGTTTTCACACCGAGTCATCAATACTTGGAACCTGCTGCCTGAAGCAGTGGTGTCCGCACCTTCAATTGACTCTTTCAAGAGAAGACTGGACACTCACAGAAGCATACTAGAAAAGGAACAACACAGGCCGTAGGCCTTCTGTCCTTACTACACAAATCTGAAATTTGAAATCTTTTTACCAATTTTTGGTACACATTTTAGGAAATAGTTATTTTTGAATGTCCTGTCGATACGAACGGGAAAATAGCACAAAATCTAAACACTGTGCAAGAATAATTATAAGTGATTTTGAGTATTCTGTCTTTGAAACTTTAAAATCTGCACTTCGTAAATTGTAGTGAATATTGAACATATGAAAATTCCCCTACTCCTGATATGGCGCTGGATACGTCTGTAAGTTCTGTAGCAGGTTGCGCCCTTGTTTTCTAGTACTAATCGCAAGATAGTCTTAATCTGAAGCTTATGTTATTTATGATTGTTACAGATTGGTACCCTTGGAAAATATATAAGGATTGTTTGGTCTTTTTTGGTTGTCGATTCACCATTCTTTTTTGTTTTGCAGCCCTCTACACTGACATTATATGCCTCCCTAGTACACAAAATAACTTCTGGCTAGACGTGAATCGCTATAGTTCATCCATTGTGTTTTCTTTCATTTTTTGCTCTAAATAATGTTCGAAAGTTTATGATACTCATGCCACTATTCGAA